GATTATTTACCCTTATTCGTGCTGTAATAACCATTGGACTTTGATGAACGCCCTGCGTAAGAGGAATAGTCTGCTGGAAAATTTCTAAATTTGATTCCTGCAAAATCGCCTTCAATGGCAAGATGACGTCGCCCAGTGAACGTTTCGTTGTATAATCGACTGCCTGCAATAATTCCTTTGTCAAAAAAAGAATCCATGCACTTCAATATGGTGTGGAAAGGGCACAGTCTAAGGCAAAATGGTGTTCATTACAAATGGTGTTCCTTCTCAAACGCTTCTGTTGGAGGAATGACAATTTAGTAATCCCTTCAGGAAATGAAATGAATGTCAGAAATACCAGCAGGCTGATCAAACAGACAATGAAGCCTGGTCAAAAATTTGCCAGCTGTATAGTTGGTGAACTCGACTGTGTATTACAGCTAGTCCAAGTATCCCGAGCACTGAGCAAATTTTACTGGAACGAAGTGTATGTCAAAAGTCATTTTAAAAATTTTCATTTTAAGACTTCAAATGAAAGAGCAAGAATTCCCAAAATACTTCTTCATCGTCAGCCATACCTCGATTTTCAATTCTTGACCTTCGGGATGTCGCACAAAGAACAGAAATTTGCATTGGAACAACGGGTTAACCGTTTTCATTTTGACAGGTGTCTGTTGTGTATCCTTTCCCAGAGTAATCATCACATACGGTGATGGTTCCAATTTTGCTTTCGGGTACTGAAAATGATGATGTTTCCAAAGATAGCAGCACATTTATATAACACTTCTTATAGGTGTGATGTTTCTGAACAATCAGTACTAACAGTATGCAGTCGAAAGGTATGCTGAAATGAGAAGGAGAATCGAAGAGGAAATTCCGAAACAAGAATTAAGAAATTAGTGAAATTATTTTAATAAAATCATTATAATGACAAGAAATGTTTCGGTCCGTTAACTCAGAAACAAAGGACCCTGGCACAAAGCCGTGCTGTTGTGCGACAAGTACCACTAACATGAGATCCCCACAGCAATTGTTCGGGCAGATATGGCATTCTTGCTTTTGCCAGATAATGACTGCTTGATAAAATTTAATCAAACACACCGGTAAATCCGACACGCTATCGATGAAGAGCATAAGCAGGGCAGGATGCACCGGTTTATCTGTATTTAACCAGCGACTTTCAAAATCCTGACACGTAAAATCTCGGACTGAAGATGACAAATTCATCCATGTGGCCTAAAAAAATCACGCGTTTGAAGCTGTAAAGTTCAAGTACCATATACACAAATCACAGACTTTATCAGACTCATTATTGTCTCTCTCTCAAAAAAGAAAAGAAAACAAGCCGCTTGTTGTCTTCTTGCATTGGTCGTTTATCTTACACTGATTCCTTATCTCCTACTCTTTCTTTGCTTTTCTCATTTTCTTTCGGTA